CCCACTGGCACCACCTTTCCCCCCCCCAGCACACAAGCATGCGTGCACACACTGACACACACACACACACACACACACACACACACACTCCCCCCCCGGTGGGCAAGCTGGCTCGGGCGATAGGGGATTCCTTAGGCAGTTCTCCTTTGCCCAGGCTCCTTCTGACCTGTTCTGCGCAAGTCCCTTCCCTCTCCATCCCTTGGGTGTCCCCGCGGCCCCAGCTCATTGCCTGCCGTCCCCGGGTGGGTATTTTCAAAAGCAAAGGGCGCCAGGCTGGCATCAGTGCAGAGGAGGGAGGCTGGATCCCTCCCGCGTGCTGCCATTTTGCAGCGCTACCCGCAACTGTTCACCTATTTCCTTCTCCAAAGGCTTTTACTGGTGGCAAGAGGTCGAAAGGTGGGAATACCTTTATTAGTAAAATACTTTGGAGAAAAAGAGACCCCAATAAAGAACAAACAAGGCTATGTTTATACTCCGCCTTTTCCTGAGAAGGCTTCGTCACAGATTTGCCTTTGCCTCTGCCATACGCTCCAGCCTGGCAAAACATCTCTGTGCCTTGGTCTTGAGAAGGAGGGTTGGCCGCCGCTGCAGACCTGTGCTCCGGTGTTCATGTGGAGGCTCGCTGAGACCGATACCTACGTACCACTGTTTCTCCAGGCAGCCCCCACCACAGTCATACGGGAATTTGAGTTACAAAGATGACAGAGCCGTGCTCTTCTCAGCCCGAGTAGGTGATGTTAGGGGCGACAGCCACCAGCTATGGATGGGGAGGTTCAGGCTGGACAGTGGGGAAAATGTTTTCATCCGGAGGGTGCTGCAGCACGGGAACCGTCACCTCGGCGGGAAGAGCCTCCTTGCCTGGAGTTTCCAAGCCTTGGCTAGACGAAGCCATGGCCAGCCTGACATCACGCCAGCTGCGGTCCTGCTTTGAGTAGGCTGTTGGACGAGGTGATGCAGAGAGGTCCCTTCCAGCCAGCACTTCTTTGATAAATTACCAGTGCACCAGAACTGTACAGCAACTACCAGCCCAGCCGGGATCCTTTAGGGTGTTCAGACCATTGATATCCTTATATTATTGCATACCAGCTCTTCCTTGTCCATTGTAACATGCTTTTTAGGACACAGGCTCTCTTCAGGCCAGCACTGAGGAGGGCTCAGATAACCTCCCGAAAGGACCTACTGGAGTCCCTTTCCCACCTGAATTATTTTAGGCATCCCTCTTTGTCAGCCTTCAGGATGATACAGTTACCCATACCAGAAGTAAAACCATAATCCAAAAGCTCATTCATGCGCATTTAAACAATAAAAGGCTGCACATGACACTATTATTAACTTTCTAGCCATAAAGAAAAGTTACTACCATAAAGAATTATTAGTAATAATCAAAAGTGTTCGTTCATGAAACTTCTTCAGTTTTACTTTTCAGCAAAATAAAGCTGCTTTTTTCTACTCTTCATGTCTCTGTGTGTGTCTCTGTCCCTTCCAACCTCAAACATAAGACCAGCCATCCCAGGAACTGTGAAATCCCACGTGTGGTTTTTTATCGTAGTCCAGCGACTTCAGAAAAGGGCCGAGGAAGGAGGTCCTTGCTCCTGCCGACTTTCTCCTCATTGCACAGGCTCAAACGTCGATGGGAACTCGATGTCTCGGGGCTCCTCCTCTCACTCTGGCAATCGTCATGCGTAACCTGCCCTTAGCAAGGCTCTCAGACTCATCAGGGCACTGGGTTCAAGCAAAGGCCAGTCAAGGTCACATAAGGCCACCCTCAGTCCTCGTCCTCTTGTCCCCTTTCCTCCACTCCCTTCAGGTTAATGAGGGGTGGGAAGGTTTCCCTGGCGAGCACCCTCAGGGCGGGTTTGCAGCCTTACAGCAGAGCTGCAAGCTAGGCCAGGCCCGGCATCCCCTTCCTGGCAGCGGGTCCCAGGGCGACCGCAGTGCCGCCAGCTGCGAGGAAGGGCACCCTGGGGAAGGAGCAGCTGCCTGAGCAGCGGATGCAGGCAGCGGCACTCCCAGGAGCTGCAAATTGACATCTTCGCCACTCTCCCTTGAAGAAGGGCTTTACTGGCAGCTCCCCCGTGCTTACTGCTCACCCATGCGGTGCCTGGGTGCAAGAGCAGGACACTGGGCAGGGGGAGAGCAGAGCTGCCGTTTGTCAGTGCAGGGAAGGAGCTGTAGGTGACTTTCTGCATGGAAGTAACATCCCAGCCTGCTCCTGAAATACCCCGAGTCTGTGCGCTCCATGCCGGCCGCCCCGAGCCCCATGGGGATGCTGCCCCAGCGCTCCAGGGGCAGTGCAGGGGATGGGGACAGAGAGGGAGGGACAGCCATGGTGGTTACTGGCAGCCATTGGCCCCGCAAAAGATGCGGGACAGGTGTGGGAGGGTGGCGTGGTGCGGTGCTGGGAAACCCTCAGCTGTGTTTGCTAGCCAGAGCGGTTGCATGAGCTGCCTCCTCTGGGGTTGGGATGAAAACGGGCCTCTCCGTGCTCCAGGACGGTGGGTCCAGCAGTGCTGAGAGCAGAGCCAGGCGTGCGGAGCCAGGCAGGGCTGTGTCCTGGCCAGGTTGGCTTTGCAAGAGCCCTCGGCTCCAGGCAGGGGAGTGGTAAAGCCTGTCGGAGGTGCTGGTCCTGCTCTGCAGCCTGGCTCCGGTTCCTGCCGTCGGGGATGGTCCATAAGCTGCAGGCCAGAGCGAAAGGGAGGGGGCTGCGCTGCTAGACAGAGACAGAGCCAGGCGGCTGGCTGTTGCTGTTGCTCTCGGAGGGGGTCTTGGCAGTGGAGGAGGTGGCCATCGAGCCACTATTCCTGAAGATGCGGAGCAGCCTCCGTTTGTAGCCCCGGAAGGCGAAGAAGTAGATGATGGGGTCTATGCAGCAGTTGAGGTTCATGAATGCCACAGTGACTTGCAGGGACATCTTGAAGGCTTGCTGCTCGCGGCAGGACGGCTGGTAGAGGATCTTCCTGACCATAAACTGGACGATGTTGAGGTGGTAGGGGCTGAAGCAGAGCAGGACGGCCAGCAGCACCACCAAGATGACAGTGAAGGTCCGGCGGTGGTGCCCGTTCTTCACCGTCAATGGGTTCTCCTTGGCTGTCTGGCAGAGCTTGAGGTTGATCCTCACATAACACACCAAGATGATGCCCACAGGCAGGAAGAAGCCAAGCACACAGGCCCCCAGGAGCAGGTAGGGTAGCTTGGGAATCTCCTCGAAGTTAAAGTACTCCATGCACGTCAGCTTGTCCCCCATCCTCCGCGTCATGGGCCGCAGAAGCAGCGGCGCTGTCTGCAGGAACACCAAGGACCAGATGAGGACGCAGACACCCCTGGCACGGCTCATCTTCCGGATCCTGCCGGGGTGCCTGGTGCGTACCACGGCAATGTAGCGGTCCACGCTTATGCAGGTCATGAAGTAGATGCCCACGTAGGTGTTCATGTAGAAAATGAAGGCTGTGACCCGGCAGAACCAGTCCCCGAAGGGCCAGTCAAACTCCAGGATGTAGTAGGTGATCCTGCCCGGCAGTGCCAGGGTGAAGAGGGCGTCGGAGAGGGCCAGGTTCACCAGGTAGAGGTCGGTGGAGTTGAGTTTCTTCTTCCTGCGCTGGAAAGTGATGCAGAGGGCCAGGATGTTCCCACAGGCACCGAACACCAGCAGGGCGGTGTAGAAGAGGGAGAAGGTGACTTTGGCGGAGAAGTGGTGGTTGTGCACATTGCAGCTGCTCTGGTTGCCGGAGGTGAGGCGGCGCGGCGGGGCACCCCCCCCCCCCCCCCCCAGCCATTTCTGTGGTGCCTCGCGAGCTCTTGCCCTCTCCCTTGGAATAAGAACAGACATGAAACTTGCAGCTTATTGATAACAGGAGCGGCACCCATAGGGCCGGCCCTCATCACGAAGCCAAAGGCCTGTCCCCTGCTCCCTGCCACCTCCCCGGCAGCACACAGCTCGAGTCATTTGGAAAAACGCATCTCTTGTGATTTCGGTACAAGCATCTCAACAAAGGCTGTGACTCATTGTCTTCTTCTTGTCACCAGCTCCTCTTATTTTTGTTTTTTGCAAGTCCAATCAATACCAGGGGGCTGGGAGGGGGAATCGCCTGTCACACAAACAAGGTCCCAAACTCATCCGGCGGCAGCGATGTCATTTATTCATCACCGCGGGATGGGAATGGGGAGCTTCATTGAGAAAATGCCCAGAAGGCGGTGGGGCTG